CTAAGCATCTCACCAAATGAACGGCCTATGTTAATTGGGCTAACAAAATAATTTCTAGGTTGTGTTTTCATATTTTGTTTTGGTGATTGTTCATTCGAATGAAAAGAGTGTATGTTTCAAAATTTGGATGAAACAAATGGATATAAGATGGTTTTTTAAGGTTATTGCATCATATTACTATACAACAGTTGCATGAAATCGTTGCCCTTATAAATTTGGATCAAACAAATGGTCTTAACATGGTTATTGAAGATTATTGCATTATACTATGATACAACCATAGCATGAGATCACTACCCGGTTGATAGACATGGTCCATGCCAAGTTGATGAATGCTTTTTCTGTGGTCCTTCAAGGGGCAACATCAGGCAGAAGTGCTTGTCATGGTTTTGGTGCCTGGCCACAATCCAGGTGTTTGTCATGGTGACATAAAGTGAGATTCTCCAATATGTTCATGAAATTAACTCTAGAAATAGTTGTATAATAATAACTAAAGTCTAGAATGAAGAGAAAGAAATTCGCAAAATAATTACACAATTTTATCTTTTGGCTGGTATAAAGACTAGAAAACACAAAACAAAATAAGATAAAAGTTAGCAGCAATTGTCTATATGTGCTATGAACATAAAGCGACAACTGCGCCAGTGAAGTATCCGGCTTTTCTGTCATGCTTTTCATCTTTTAAAAACTGAAACATTTGTGTCTTTGCTTTTATCTTTCGAATTTTTTTTCTTTAATCTTCACGGATTTTCGTAGTATTTTTGCATAAGAAATAAGCGTCAGTGTCTGGTGTATACCTCATCTTGAAGCAGATGGTGCTGCATGTTATTTTGCCTGTGGATAATCTTTTTCTTTTTTGTTTCTTTCTTCTCTCTTTATTGAGATGTTGTTTATTTTGTCTTTTTGGTCTTTTTTTTGAGGCCCTTTTTTGCTCTTTATTCTCTTTTGTGGAGCTCTGTCTTCGTTTTTTTTCGTTTTGGGGTTGGACATGATATTCGAACCTTGGACTTTAGTGCTGTCTCTCTCCCCCCCTCTCTGTGAACCAAGGGGCTGAACCCATCCTCTTTGAGATCTTTCTTAGTTGTTGCTTGACATGGGTCCACCATTGTCATCTTTCTGCCTCATGCTTTTGGCTTCATGCATTATAGCAATGATTGAAAAATCAGCCTGAGTCATTTCTACTCAGTCGAGTTACTGGCCCGAGCCCAAGTTGGGTGTCCAACTCTGGGATATTTAAAAAAAATCAAAAAATAATATTAAATTGTAAAAAATATCTAAAAAATAAGAAATTTGTTTGGAATATGTTTTAGCATGTTTTTTTTTATCATTTTGGCAAAGATTGGAAAGCGTTTTGGCCATAAATATTTACATTTTTCCATTTGTTTTGAATTATTTAAAAAATACACCTATTCACAATTTGATTTTCTAAAATCTATTTTTGTTGCCACTTTTTTAACATCATTTTGAAATATTTTTGCTTAATCTAACTTTAAAGATATATTTCCCTTATTTTTTTTGGATTTTTTAACCTTTTTTTTTTTGTTTGCTGAGTGGCTCAGGCCAGGACCGATTACTTGGCCTGAATCGCACTCTAACACTCCATTATAGAACTGGAGAGCAATAGAAGTTTGTACTCAACATGTAACATTTTCTCTGTAAAAATTCTCAGTTCTCACTGAGAAACTAATATAGGGAAAATTCAGCAGTTGATCATGCAAAACCAGGTGTGTCCGAATTGGCTCTGGCAAAAAGGTAGGCCCAAAAAGTTATGAAAGAGCCCGCCCAATATTCAAAAGTTCAAGTATGAGAGAGTTGGAAAGAGACAATCTCTTTATATTATCCTGTGATATGTTAATCAATTTTACAGTCCTAGTCTTTGATTTCTCAGAAACCATTAGAGATTAATTTTTAGGTGGTCGTAACTTCTAATTTTATTACATGATGAATGACCAAAATTACTGCTCTCCAAAACTGATACGGAATGGAGGGTGCAATGTCCCTGTCTTGATAAATGACCATCACACAAGAGAGGTTTGAAACGGACGGTGGAATTTGTCCACCACACCATGAAGGAGGCTCTGAAACATAAGATATTTCAAAGATTGAAGCCCACTCTTCTAGAACATTGCCATGCTTGTAATAGCAAGCTTTTCAGGTTGGCATTTTTAACTTATTCCAAGATTCAATAAAGTCTGCGGTTTGTATAGAGCCTACGCTCTAAACGATCAAATTTGACCCTATCTTCAAATAGTATCAAGAAATGTGGTTTTAATATTGGAAATCTTTTTGATATCCTTAAAATATATTTTCATCTTTATTTATCTATTTTAAAGATTAAAAAATAGTGTAGATCGACAGATCTATGAAAACTTGAAAATCTTGAAAATTGACTGTCCAAAAAATGCGTTACAAAATACACTATTTCCAAAACATGAAATCTATTTTTTTTTTTTTTTTGATGTCCATATATCTTGATGTCAAGATAACCAATTTGAGGATATTTGGGCATAAAAAAAACCCTCTTCTAATGAAATTTTTTAATAGGCTCAAATTTGATTGTTTAGAGCCTTTCTCTATATAAACTTTTCCCTAAAATAAACTGCCCTCTTCTAAAAAAATTTTGTGCCAATATGAATATATGATACGAGGGAAAACATTTGGTCCCACCTTAGGGTTGACTGCTTTTCCCCTAAAAGGAAAAAAATAATTTTGAGTTCTTAAAGGAAAACCAATACCTACCATTTCTTCCGAAATTTTTTTATTGTCCTCATTGCCGGGTCTGAGAAAACCTCTATGACAAGGTATTACATAAAGGGTGTGGTTTCCATAAGGTTGCACCTCCAAAAGTTTATCATAACATGTAATTTTGATATAAAAAATTATTAGGATTACTTGAAAATCTTTTTTTATCCATAATTATAAAATTTTAAACTTAAAAAATGGTTAAAATCAAGTACATCTATAAACATATGAAAATCTTGAAAATGGACGGTCTAGATAATATGTTGCCATGTGCACTATTTCTGGGACTCAAATTTTTTTTCTTCATATTCATACATCTTGATATCGAGATGATCAATGAGAAGGTTTTTCAACATTAAAACAACCTTTCCTGTTGGATTTTTGAGGTGCATATGTAGTTGTACATTTTAAGGTTGCAACCTTATATAAACTTTTTCCTTACATAAAAGGAAAAAATTTATATAAAGGTGAGGCTCTAAACAATCAAATTAAGGTACACCTAAAAAATTCACTAGAAGAGATTGTTTCAATGCCCAATATTCCTCAAATCGATCATCTCAACTTCAAGATGCATGAATATTAAAAACGAGATATTTTAAGTTTTGAAAATGTTGCATCTTGTAATGCATTTATCGGAACACCAAATTTCAAGATTATCAAGTGTTCATTGATATGCTTGATCTACAACATTTTGTAACCTTTAAATTTTATAATTAGAGATGAAAATGAGTTTTCTAGCCATTACAAAGATTTTCAATACTAAAATAACATTTTTCGACGTCATTTCAAGGTGCACCTTACTTTGATTGTTTAGAGCCTCGGCCTTATACATGTTTGTTGTGAATCATCATGCTCTACCAGATGTTTAATTGTCAAAAAAAAAAAAAAAAAAGAATGGATTTTTTGTGATTTATGGAGAAGCCACAAGTCCTCCACAAATTTCTTACTTAACATGAGGTCCACACGTGCCCCCGAATCTTTGTCAGCCGACATTCCCATGTGGAGGGAAGGCAATTATTGGTTGCTGAACCTGGCACGTGCGATGCCCAGATAAAGATGTGAAAAAATCATGTGAGGGTATGAATGATTACTCGAAGAAAACATATACCAACAATTTGACCAGAATTTGTAAGTCATGCTATAATGGATTCTCTCCCTATGTTTATGAAAATTTGAAGGTCCACATTTCGTTTTTTTACAAAGAGGTCACATTCAGATAGTGTTGGATATGAAAATTTGACAATTTCGAACGTCACAAAGTTTTTTTTTTTTGGCTTTGAGCCCAATCAATAAGATATCTTGAACCTTCATCTTGAAGATAGATCAAATTGTTTAGTCAAGTTGGTTATGGATGGTAAACTTCATATTATTTTTCTCTATCTCCAAGATTTATTGTGATTGTCGTCTGTATATAGAGGCATGTATTTGTGTAATCTTTTATCCAAAACAGTGAAGATATATTTATTGGGTTTTGGATCCACCTTGGCTTGAACCATGTAAATCTTGTGTTATCTCTCTTCTTCTTTAGATAATCTTGTGTTATCTCTTTTCTTCTTTTTAGACCAAATTGTATGGTTAAGTTGGTTATGGGTGATAAGCCTCATATTATTATTTTTTATCTCCAAGATTTATTGTGAATGTCGTCTGTATATAGAGGCACGTATTTGTGTAATCTTTTATCCAAAACAGTGAAGATATATTTATTAGGTTTTGGATTACCTTGGCCTGAACCATGTAAATCTTGTGTTATCTCTTTTTTTCTCTCGATAATTTTGTGTTATCTCTCTTCTTCTTTTTACATTCAATGTCTGTTCATGCTCTCTTGAACTTTAACAAATCCAATTTCACATCCACAACGAACGTTGAATGTAACCTCTTTGTATCAATTTATCCCAGTGAAGAATAAAAGTAAAGCGGACAATTTAAGAGTTAAGAGTATAGCCCTTAAAACATATACACTTTCCTCTTCATTTTTGAAAATTAGACAAGAGCCACTCCATATTACATTAGAAGTTATTAATCAAGATCATAATACACCCCAATTCCTTACAAGAGCCAACATACGTTGGATCTACATTAGCCCTAGTGGTGCTCTCTCTCACAAAGATGCACATAAATCCGATAATTAAAGCCGGATTTATAGGGGTATCAGGCCGCTTGGACAAGTCAGACCTCGGCGCTGCCGGCTTCGACATCGTTGGATCCTCTTGAAGGTTTCTGCCTGTGAAGCATGTAATTGCAAGCGGCCACCGCCTCCCCTACCGTCAGATATATCCACTCCAGGCCAATCGCCTCAATGAACTTCGACTTTGTGAGTTTCTCCATCACTTCGCTTCCTGGGTTAGCTAAGGCGAGCTGTTCGATCAAAGAGAAATTAAGTTTCTACCCCAAAATGATCTATTCAATTTTTTCATATTTTTTGATAAGTGGTGATTTTGTAATGACGAAAAGTGGTCTATTTTGTAATTTTGTCAAAGTATTTATTAAGTATTATTATGAATTCTGGTTTGAGCTCGCATGGTAACCCTGGCCTGCAACGAATAGTCTGTTTGTAATTAGCAAAAAATGGATATTTTTTTAGGTTTCTTCAAAGTACATGCATGTCTAAAATTCCTTCTTTTAGTTAATTAGGATTTGAACTTTGGCCCCCTAGGAAGAGGAGACCTGCTATAAAATACTTACACAATACTTAAGGATCTAGCATGATGTTTATTATTTTAAGAATAAAGTAAATTCATCAAAATCCTCACGAGAGATGAGGATGATGATTGAGATGAGTCTTGGATGATGATAATGATGATGATTTATATCTTTATGAGAGATAAATTGTTTAACATTCTACCCAATTGTCACTATTCCATCGCAAAATCATGTATTTTCTTATTGGTATTTTTAAAATTAAAATAAAAAATATAAGTAAGATATTAAAATTCATCTCTTGTAGGTAAATTGACAAATTTTCCTAGAACAAAGGGCGTAGCATAATTAGTAAAAAAAAAAAAAAAAGGAAATTGAGAAAATTATTTGAGGCCCTATCATGCAGTGTACCTGAAGGCCTCGCCTCTCTACGTTCTTCTTGACTTCCTCCAGCATGCTGATGCCGCTCGTGTCAATGCAACTAGCGGCTGCCAACACGTGCCATTTCACAATAAGTTTCAAGAGAAAATATATAAAGGAAAGGAGAATTTTTAAGGGGGATCAGAAGTGCTCCTTAACACGTGTGAAAAAAAATGCTTTGCTCCATTTAAAAACAGGGCATACACGGGTGAATTGGCTCGATTCGACCCGGTCAAAAATAAAAATAAAACTCGGGATTTAGGAATCCCTTGAGTTCATGTTGTGACTGGACAACCAGGGCGGTGCAAAACCATTTGAAACCATGGTCACCTCGGGTTAGCCCACCCCAACAATTCCGAATCAGCTTTCCGATTTTTCAATCAATGGTTTGCTCTACTGACCGCTCATGTCGAGGATCACATACTGTAAGCTGTACTCTCCTCTCAATTTGAGTCTATCTTGCTCATCGTCCACCCATCTTGCAATCCTAAAGCACAAGATCATCACACGTGTCATTCCAAAATGCCTTAATTTCACTAATCACCAATCTTTTGATTTCCAATGAAAAAACATGAATCTAGAAAAGGACTCAATATTATTGAAAATGACAAGGAAGGTCCATTGCTCGTCTTGAAAAGAAATAAAAATGCATAAACACGTGTATTTTTTTTTGGTAATTCAAGAGGGAAGACGGCACTCGTTTCACGGAGTTAAGTTTTTTATTGAAAGTGTCAGTAAGTGGTACTAGTAGGATTGAAAACCACAACGTAGAAATTAAGTATAAGAGTGCTACCACCATGATCCAGCCCTTTTCCTAATCTTTACTGTGGGCCCAACTCTGGACATACCTCTCTCTCAAATAGCTTGAATTTGCAAAATAAATGGGGGAGTCAATCCTCAAGATTAGGATCCCAGGCACGCTTTTGGCCACCGGATATTGCTCAACATTCCTGTAAATTGTGGAGTTTGGTATGTTTCCGAGCACCGATGTACGAGGCCTAGCTATGAACAATAGAACTCTCAGCAATGAAACAGCAACCTGCACCCACAAATTTTCACAAAGGAAATCAATATTGGTTTAGGCAAATATATTAATATCTTGTGTGTGTGATCTTAGGTATTGACAATCAATCTCTTTGTGTGTGCACGAGCTGGTGTGTGTATGGACGATAAGATGTTGTGGATTAATAATTTCTCGATCATCACTCGGAATCCATTGTTGACATATAAAAGAGAAAAAAATAAAAAATAAAAATGGGCGGGACATAATCTACCCCAAATTTTTATACTTACAAAATAAAAAAAAATAAAAAAAATCAAGAGTTGCCGGTGGTTGATGTCCCTGAAAATTTAGTGACCTGAGTCCAACACTCGTCAACTTTAGTGGCCCAAGCCCGTGTTGTTTAATTTGGAGCCCACTGGGGAAGGCCGAGCCGCCCCGCCCAGCCCAGCCCAGCCCATTGCCGCCCCATCATTTCAAAGAAGTAAAAACTGCAGATCAAAAGAAGGAAAAGATTTGAACTCACAGCTATAACAAGACCTATCTCAACACTCCCAAAAACGACTCCAAGGAAGGCGCCCATGCACACACAAAAGTCGACCTTATCAACCTTGTAGAGATGGATGGCAGCGTCGTAGTCGATAATCCCGAGCATGGCGGAGATTATGATGGAGGAGAGAACGACGAGGGGCGTGTAGTGAAACAGAGGAGTGAGAAAGAGGAGAGTTATCATCACTGCGATTGCCATCACTATGTTTGACACTGCTGTCTTGCACCCCGCGTTGAAGTTCACAGCCGATCGAGAAAACGGCCCTGAAATACTCAAATAACGTTCCTCTAATTAGTGTTTGGGTGTGTATGTATGAGAGGGAGAGATTCTTGGCATTGGAGCTCCATAATTTAGGAATTATGCTAATGAAAATTTATCAAAATACACTATGTTACAATATACAAAAGTAGCAAATATTATCTTGAGAAAGCGGTCTGCTTGCATTTATTGTAAACTTATGCCCTTTTTCATTTTTATCTTAAGAAGATTTTCACCTCAACAACTTAGAAATATGGCATTCATTCTAAGTGTATCCCAATGAAAATGAGTTTAAAGATGGGGGATAAGAGCTTCCATTCTTTTTTTTAATACTAGTCTCAACTCTTCTTTTTTATTTTTTGTGAGATATATAAATGTGATTTTTTTTTTAAATGGATTCTTTATTTTTCAATTTTCATTTTTGTGTACCTGTGGTTAAGTAACAAGAGGTGCATGAACCAGCGATATTCATCATCCCAAAAGCAATCATCTCCTTGTTGCCATCTATGTGGTAGTTTTTGAACGCAGCAAAGCTTCTCCCTACTGCAATTCCTTCCTGTAAAATTTTCTTTAAAAAGATAAGAAAAACTTCAAAGAAAACAATTTACCATAACGGAAAAAAAAAGACGCAAGAGCCAAAAAAAAGATATACAAAAATAAGAAAAAAGTCAAAGAAAGAAATAACATTATCTACGATCTAAAATTAAAAAGGACAGTAAAAAAAATATTAAGAAAGAGAATAAAAAACTTACCGCTAGCACGATCATGCCAGTAACTATTCCAGCCTTGAGGGCAATCATCATATGCTCGGGCTGGAAAGTGAAATGAGAAATTGATTCGGGATTTAAACCTTTCTTTAAGTGCCCAATCTGAAAAATAAGTGGTGAATCAGTTAAGGAAAAAGTTCAGATAAGGATGCAACCTTATAATGTAGAACTACAAATGCCCCTAAAAAATCCATCGGAAAGGGTAGTTTTAATGTTGAAAAAACCTTCTTTTGAACATCTTGACATCAAGATGTATGAAAAATAAAAAGATTTTGAATCTAAAAAATAGTGCATGTTGTAATATATTATTTGCATCATCTATTTTCATGATTTTTATATGTTTATAGATCTATTTGATTTTAACTATTTTTAAAATTTAAAATTTTATAATTAGATATAAAAATAGATTTTGAAATAATCCTAATAACATTTTACATCAAAATTATATACCATAATAAAATTTGAAAGGTACCTTACCTCTACACCTACGGAGGCGTCCGTATGCAAAACTGCACCCATCAGTTAATAATGTGCTCACTAACAAAGTTATTTCCCTTTGAGGCATAATTTAAAGCCTTTTTATGTGCTCAATTCCTGAAAATTTGACAATATTTATGGTGCTCATAGCCATTTTACAATTGTATTCAACAATTTTTTGATACTTTTATACCATTATTTTGTAATACAATATTTTTTAGTAAAGATATTTTTTTGTCATTAAGTAGATATGACATCATCTACGTATAACATTAAACGCCGTGTCCTCCATGTGGGTGTACCCGTCTAATAACCAAAACACCTTTATTAAAAAGATGATCATCGGACTAAACGAAGAGCATATACGTGTCTAAACTTTATTGACTACAATTATAAAATGCTCTATAATATGAACAAACGAGACTTTGACCTCTACAATACAAATTGAGGAGGAACATTTCTTTTATGGATCGGCCATATTTTGATCTATTTCGGCATATAGACTTTGGAACCCCATCACTTAACTCATGTACCACCAGCTACATTTTTTTCTGAATATGGAAACCTATGAAGCAGAGGAGGATAAGCTTTGAAGGTTTGTGGTGTCCAGATGCTCCAAGTGAAAAATAGTTTAGAGATTTCTTGAAATTTAGGAGCAAGAGTAGGGGTATAATAGTCATTCTTACCACTTGGACACCATGCTTTTCGGCGTGAGTGAGATAAACGAGAGCACTTCCCAATATGACTGAGGTCAGCGGTGCAGCTGCTGAAATCCAGAAGAACCTCGGCTTTCTCTTGCTCTTTTTTACAGTCATAAAAAAAAAGAAAAAAAGAAAAAGAAAAAAGGAAAAACCAACAATCAATTAATACCGAAAAGGAAGGAGAAGCACCCACCATGCATTAATATTCCCAAAAGGCCTATTGCTTTCACCATTTCATTCCAGAGAGAGAGAGACAGAAAGGGAGATATGTGCTTTCCCCATTGCGGAGGGCAACCCTTCAGTTTTTATCGTTTTCACTTTAAGATGGATCGAGAGTTGTTTTCACTTACAAAGTAGCGGGTGAGGAGGAGGAAGAACAGGAAGCAACAGCCCAGAACAGCGCTCTCCCATCTCCACTGCAACAACCACGCCCAAAAAGATTTAGAATTCAGGAGAGAGAAAATATTTTTAGAATTCGAGAGAGAGAGAGAGGCGTATTATAATATGAGAGAATCATTTATCTCCTGTTTGTTTTGAGGTAATCATGTTCAACTACCGGCTATTAATGTATGGCCCACAGTTAGAATCTTAGACAGCGAAAGCAAATGGGAGAACCCCATTCTAATGTAGAATTACGTATGCACCTCAAAAATCCATCCATCTTATAAAGAAAGGTTGTTTTAATGTTGAAAAACTATCGTCTTAACATTAAGATGTATTCATGGTTACGAAGAATAAAATTATTTCGAGTCTTGAAAATACTGCACTTTACAACTCATTATTTAGACCGATGATTTCAAAATTTTCATATATTTATAAATCTATTTGATTTTAATAGTTTTGAAATTTAAAATTTTATAATTAAATATAAAAATAGATTTTGAAAATATTTAACTCGAGGAAACGTTTTAAGTAAATGATTGTTTAAAGAAGGGTGCTACAAACCACACCAACCCTTGTAGACTGCATCTTAACCGTTCGAGTGAGAAACATAGGACCTATTTTTCGACTTGCACTCTTTGGGCAACATACCGCCATTATGCTAACGTTGAAAGTTACTTGATCGGCGGCCAGTAAAAGAGAGAATTGGTATTATTGGAGGGAGGGGAGAGAGTTACTGTCACGGACCAACTTGTAAAGCAAAATCGTATCGGGAAAACAAAGGAAGGGACGTGACTTTGAAAGGCAGAGAAAATTAATAATAGATGAGGGAAAAGCTCGAGTCCTAAAAAGTCCATGGCTTTGAAAAACAGGGCCAAAAGGCAGGATCTCTACTCTTTTTATTTCCAATTCTTTTGATATACAATCAAACTCGAGCAATATATTCTCTATCTAACTCAAAGCAAAAGACTTTCTCTCTAACCTCGTGAGTTTGGGTAAAAACAGAGCGCATGACTGTGACCAAATCAGTGCCCGTTGTGAAGTGTTGAAGACCCAATATCCCTTTCAGTTGTTGAAGGCACACCACTGTTGCAGCCCCACCCATGAACCCAACAATTGTGGCATGAGAGAGAAAGTCCACAATAAATCCCAACCTGCAAGGCAAAAGAGAATCAAATCCCCTCAATTTCACATATCCCAACAAAGTGCAGTCAGGAAGGACATATCGTAGTATAAATCCAATGCAATAAAAGTGGCAGACAGACGGAAGAGAAGCCCATCACTGTGCTTGCTCATGTGACCAAACAAAACGCTAGAGGGAGTGGGGCATTGCTAGTTCACTAAGGACACTAAGAACCAACAGAGACAGAGAGACCTATGCATTTCACCAAACTATTAGGCGAGAAACAGAGGCAGGAGGAGAGAGAGCCTTGTAATTTGAGCAGAGGGATAAATACTAATTACTAAAGAACGAGATAAACACTCTGTTTCACGCACCAGTAAACAATGAGAGAGAGAGAGAGAGAGCGACTTTTGTCACGTCACCAACCGGATTAAGAAAGAAAGAAAGTGGAGAGAGAGAGGGTTATTTCACCCATCTGAAGAGAGAGATGCTCTTGTTATGCCACCAACCAGATTAAGACACAAACAAAATTGGAGAGAGTGGAATTATTGAACCCGTCTCATAAGAAAGAACCAAACAGAAAGAGAGGCGCTATAGTTATGTCACCAAGAAGCTTAAGAAACAAACAAAATTGGAGTTGGAGGGAGAGGGATAGAGATGAATTATTTCACCTACCTGATAAAGAAATAACAAACCAGAGAGAGAGACCAACCTTATGAGACCCAAAGCAGTCTGGAAAAGACCAGCAAAGAAGGTGGCCGTAAAAGCAAGGTGGAGATATAAAGTCGGGTTCTCAGCAGGGGTGACATCCTTACTCAACATTGACCCCAGAAGCAATGAACCCACTGCCACCGTCCCAACTGCCAAGTCTTTCGAGCTCCCCATCAACGCATAAACAAGAGGTGGCACAAAACTCGAATCTATAAACCCAAAAATAAAAAACATAATCACATTCTAAGAAGCCTTAATGCAAATATCTTAAAATGCAAATAAGGCAACTCATACAAACTTCATTTTATTTTCATTAGCATTGCAGAAAGGGCCTTTAAATCACCAAAAAAAAAGGAAAAGAAAAGATAGAGAAAAAAGATAATTTTTGAGGCCCAACTTTCAAACCCAAAGATAGAATCAAAGAACACTAAGTTAAGAAGTTTAAAAAGAAATGAAGATTGATTGATGACAAGAGGAAAGAGAAAACTTACAGAGGCCAAGTATAGGGGGCAGATTAGCAAGCTTGGCATAGCTAATGCCTTGAGGGATAGCAAGGCTAGCAATGGTGATTCCGGCTATGAGGTCGGCTTTGAAGAAGGCAAAGTTGTAGCTTGGTGCCCATTCAAGTATGGGGAAGAAGAATTGCAGGCCGAGCACAAGGCGCCGAGCTAGAGGCTGGCTCTTGAACTGGCGAAAGGGGTCATCGGGGAATAAGGTCTCTTTGAGGGAGGACATGAACTTCGAGACGAAGGGCTTAGGTTGTGGAACTGCTACTTTGTGGATGCACTCTTTGGCAGTCGCCTGTTGAGCGTACACCAAGTCCGCGTTCCCCATTCTAGAGACCAGCTAAATTCGGCGGCCCCTTGCAGCAAAATTTGGCGATTCTGGTGAAAATAGAATCTAGAAAATGCTAGAGCTGGTGATGGAAGTGGTAGAATGGGAAGACAATGTGGAGATGATCTTCGAGGTTCGATATGATGGGTAGCCTTTGAAAATGTAAAGAACGCCTACCTCCGCTAAACTTAGCAGTGGCACCGCCGAGGAGGGAGAAGCCGTGCTCTTTTGCACAAGGAGGAACAAGTTGTGGAAGCACTCTACTAGTGACACTAGAGATTTCGAACTTGAAACTAGGGTTTGGTGCTAGAGAAAGAAACAAGCGGCTCCTCCAAATTTAGCGGAGGAATTGGTGGAGGTGGCGCTAGATTCAGAGGAGGCGGAACTTGCAGTGGCGGGGAGAGGAGAGGAAGTGGGGGGGGGGATTATATGGACAGCAAAGGGTGGGGACAGGGCAGCCTATTTTAGTGGGTGGCGGGTCCCATACGTGTGGGAGTTACATGTGGGATCCACACGTGTGGGGACCTCGAACCGTCCATTCGAGCCCGCTAACCAATAGAAGCCAGGAAGCCCACGGCTGTTCTCGCGGACCCGTGTGACTATCCTCCACGTGTGGCTTTTTCTATCATTACGTGGCGCCACATTATTGGGGAAGTGGGTACATGGACGTCTCTCACAAACTTTCAACATGGACGAGTCTCTACAAACTCGCGAGTAGTGTTAAAAACTGCCCCGATGGTGAGAATTTCGGGTGATTGTTTCCGTTTTGGCGGATTTTCTTATAAAAATGAGGCTACACATAAACAATCCAGTACATAAGGGTGTCACAAGTTTGAAAACCTTTTAATTCATCATCTTGTTCTATTGTTATAAAGAAACAAAAAATTGTAAGTTATAAAATTAGGGCATTTGTAACATGCTATCTGAACGGTCTATTTTCAAGATTATTTAGTTTTTATAGATCTACTCGATCTATAATGTTTTTGAAATTTTAAATTTTGTAATTAAAGTTGATGATGGATTTTCAAACTATCATAAAGTTTTCGACACCAAAACTATATCTTTTGATAAAATTTAAAGGTGCGCTTTACTTATATAGCATAAGGTGGGCACCTTAAACAAACGCCACCCTTCTTTTATCGTATTAATATCGGATGGTTTTTGCATAAGGTTGCAACTTTAAACAATCAAATTAGGGTGCTCCTCCAAATTTTATCATAACATGTAATTTTGGTATCAAAACTTCTCAAGATAGCCTGAAAATCTATTTTTATCTGTAATTATAAAATTTTAAACTCTAAAAATAGTTCCAATCAAGTAGATCTATAAACATGTGAAAGTTTTTGAAAATGGACAGTATAGATAATGTATTGCAAAATGCACCATTTTTTTAGATTCAAAAATATTTTTTTCTTTCTTTTTTTCATATTCATACATCGTGATGTCAATTACGTGGCTTTTCAACATTAAAACAGTTTTTCCAAGAGATTTTTGAGGTGCACCTTAATTCTACATTTTAGGTTGCAACCTTATACAAACTTTTTCTATCTTCTAAATCTATTCCTTTTTACATAATTGTGTTTGTTCTTAGGAACCCCTATAATGGGAGATGAACGTTGCATTCGTTTCCAATTCACTCAAATATGTGTTATATATATATATATATATATATATATATATATATACTATATTNTCTATAGTAAGTCTAGTTGTAGTGTATAGTTACGTTAGGTTTGTTACTCCTACCACATACAGTACTAGTAAGGTACGGCTAC